AAGCACACAGTAAGTGCTCTTTAAACGTTAGCTCTTGGGAGGACGCCTGGGTGGCTCATTCGGTTAAGCGTCCAACTTCAGCTCAGGTCATGATCTCACGGTCCAGGAGTTCGAGCCCCGCGTCGGGCTCTGGGCTGACAGCTCGGAGCCTGGAGCCTGCTTCGGGTTCTGTGTGTCCCTCTCTCTCCGCCCCTCCCCCACTCACACTCTGTCTCTGTGTCTCAAAAAATGAATAATGATCGGGCATCTGGGCCACCCTTGAGGGCTGTAAGCTCAAGACATGGGCAGGTGGGCTCAGGGTGCCAGGCTGGGTGTCCCATGGCGAAAATGAACAGCCAGCTCTTTTTTCAGGGGGCGGAGGGGTGAGAGGGGCCGATTTGCCGATTTCCATGGTGAGTTCTCCCACTGTGACCAGTTTCAGAGAGGAGCGGGGCCCTGGGGTCCAGCCATGGGAGAGAGGCAAGGGATGAGGCCACAGTCAGAGTTAGGAGCATCTCGTCCTGGTCCCTGAGAGAGTCCACAGGAGTGCCACGTGGCCTTGCACACGTCATTTCACGTCTTTGACCTCCAGGCGCCTCAGTGGAAGAAAAAGAGCACGTGGCCTGACCGAGCTAGTGTGAATCCAGGCCAGAGGATAGGTTTTGAGCACTCGCTCAAAACATAAGAGAGTCCTAGAACTCTTTTATGAAGAGTCTATAGAGCTCCCTCTGCCAAGTTCTGGGGTGCAGGGATGAATAAAAGAGGGTCAGTGCTGGGGAAGGGCAGGCGTGAAGGTTCTAGAACTGCATCAGTGTGGCCATAGCAACGATTAGTAAGTACGGTGACCGCCTTGCCGTATCTGAGCCACACAATTCATCCCAACGGTCCGAGGACGGACTGTGGGCCAGAGGCTGGGAAACATGGTGAACAAGAGACAAAGTCCCTGCCCTCCAGGAACTTACATTTTCAGTGGTGGAGATAGATACCAGTCTTAATGCAAACTGGATAGAACAGTACAGCGTTGGTGTGATTGAAGGAGCGAAGCGGTGTCGAGAGATGACCGGCTCAGGAACCGGTCCTGCCCTTTCGGAGTGAGCTGTCTATCGGAATCACCATCAAGCTTTAAAAGTCTGATGCCACAGCCCCAGCCAAACTCAGGGCTTCTTATTTGAGCTTGGGGTGCAGCCTGGGCATCGGGAGTGTTTCAAAAGATTCCCAAGTGATTTTAATGACCTAGACACTGAGCTCCCTTAGAGCCAGGACTTTGATTTTTTTTTTCAACTTTTTATCCCCGGATCCTCCAGAAATACGGGCATCACAGCATAAGGAGGCAGACAGAGCAGGAGGAAAGAGCTGATACCTGTGAATGCCTGTAATAATCACGGGTGGCCCGTCACTGTTCTGAATGCCGGACATGTATCCATTCAGTTGACACGTCAGTCCCTAGAGAGGTAGGACCATGGTTATCCCTCCTTTGACAGGTGAGGAAACCCCCACACGGAGTGGCGAAGCCTCGCCCAAGACAACGCAGCCCGTAAGTGGCAGAGCTGTGTGGTGGCCCGGACCCATTAATCCCTGGGAGATACTGCCCCCTAGTGCTAGCTGGGGTCAGACTTTGGAATCCGGTGGGCCTGGGTCTGAACTTGAATACATTCGTTACTCCCCGGCTGGGTGACCACGGACAGGTTATTCAGTCTTGCTCATCCGTAAAACGTGGTCACTTGAAACAATGCCAAAAGGCCGTTACGGAATGAAGTGAGATGATGCGGGCCGAGTGCTCACCACATCGTAAAATAATAACGCCAGCAATGACGAACACAGGCAGAAATGAATGAGTGAATGAATGAATGCCATTCCTGGAGCCCCAGCGTGCTGGCAGCAACGCCACCTCCTTGTGCCTGCGGAAGGGAGATTTCCCAGAAGGGGAGGCCTTCCAGGTGACTCGGGGTCCACCGGGCCCTCCAGAGATGCCCTCGCCCTGACACCCGCCAGCCTTCTCTCTTCCCTCTGAGTTCTCCCGCCAGGGTGGGGGTGCATGGGCACCAGAGCTCCCAGACTGCTGGGGAACCTCCAGCTTTTTAGAGGTAGGGACCTTTCGCAGAAGAAATTCAAAGCCCTCGGAGCCTCTGCCGCCCGACAGCCGGAGCCTGGGATGCACAGTGTCAGCGAGTGAGGAATCCAGGGTGAGGAGATGCCGGGAGAGGTCAAAGGCTGCCCGGGTCACAGGGGGCCATTTGGGCTCCCAGGGGACAACCCTCTCAGTGTCCATGGCTCTCCGGTGGGACCGCCGAGTTCTGCCAAGTCCAGGCCCTCCCCTACCCTCTGGTCCTTCCACATTTCCATGACCCTAACAAGTGGCCTAACAAGTGATCCCCTTCTCACTGGATGCTCCCAGGTAGTGCTTCCCTGAGGCCACTCAGCCCCTGGGCTCTGGCACTGATGTCTTAGCAACCCTGCGTAGCAGGTTGGGCCCCTGGAGAAGAACAGGTGAGTCTTCCTTTGTTCCTTCCTTTATGTTCCTCTTAACATGGGAAACCACTTTTGTCCTTGGGATTATAGAAGTGATATGCGATAGTGAAAAAAATCCAAATCCACAGAAGCACCTAAAGAAGAAAGCAAATCATCTACTCCTGCAGTATATTGGGTAGCCCTTAAAAGATGGTGCAGATACAAAACGTCTCCATCCAAGCAGGACTGGAATGTTCCACCGCACAATGGTTGGGAATGCTGCCTCCGCTACCCCATGTTATGTGCCCACAAACAAATTATTCAACCAATGAAGCCGTGGTTTTCTCATCTGTAAAATGAGGATCCAAATTAGCACCTACTTCTAATATTATTCAGAATCAGGGGCGCCTGGGTGGCTCAGTCAGTTGAGCATCCGATTTCAGCTCAGGTCGTGATCTCAAGGTTGGTGGTTTCGAGCCCCACATGGGTCTTTGGGCTGATGGGTGCGGAGCCTGCTTGGGATTCTCTGTCTCCCTCTCTCTCTCTGCCTCTCCTCCGCTCACACGCTCTCTTTCTTTCTCAAAAACAAATAAACATTAAAAAAAAAAAGGAGAAAACAGAAGAATCGAATGAAATAATCGCCTCCCAGGCCTTAGCACAGTGCTTGACACACAGTGAGCGTTTAAAAGTGTTCGATCCTTCTGTGGTTGTTCCTTGCTTAACGCATCCCGGCGGTCTTCCCAAGGCAGCACATTAACATTTAAGCCTTCCCTTCCAACAGCCGCATGGTTCGCTGCATGGATACAGCAGTTTGTCTGAGTCCCTCTGGATGGGCATAAGTTTATGGGCAAAGGTCTCCCCATTTGGATGGGTTATTTCTGTAGTCCTCAGTTTGGGAGAACTATTGTAAATCATATCCATGAATCTTGTCGCACTGGCCTGTCTCCTTGCGGTAAATTCTCAGAATTGTAAACGTAGGTCAAAAGGTTAAAATGTTGGGATGTGCAGGGCTCAGGACTTGGACCTCTTCCTTCTGTTTCACGCATGCTTTGATAGTCTTTTTTTTTTTTTTTTAAGTTTATTTACTTATTTTGAGACAGAGAGAGACAGGATGTGTGCACAAGAGGGGGGGGGCACAGAGAGTAAGAGAGAGAATCCCAAGCATGTTCTGCGATGTTAGCGCAGATCCCAACTTGGGGCTCGAACTCACCAACTGTGAGATCATGACCTGAGCTGAAATCAAGAGTCGGACGCTCAACCGCCTGAGCCACTCAGGCGCCCCTGTTTGATGTACACTTTGACCCCCATCTCTGGGTTGACAGCTCCCACGTTTGCATCCCCAGTCCAGACCTGGTACCCGGGCTCAGGCACGCCACCACTGGATGTGGCCAGGAGTGGGTGCCTCAGCTATGACTTGTCCACGTCAGAGATCTGATGTGCTGCTGCCCCCTGACCCGCTGCCTCCACGGCTTTCTTATCTCAGTCAACAGGAGCTCCGTCCTCCACGCTGTCAGGTCAGAGGTCTCACTCAGTGTCACCTTTGGCTCCTTCCGCCTCTCTCACCACGTTCACCCTGTGAGGGAATCTCTGCTCTACCTTCAGAATAAATCCAGAATCCAGTCCCTTCTCATCGCCTCTCTCACGGGGGGGTTGGTGTCACAGCCTCTAAACTGTTTCCACCCTTGCCACATTCAGTCTGTCACAACAAGCAGCAGGGGGGAGTCTGTTAAATCAGATGCCCCGCCCCCTAACGACTCTCCATCTCACTCAGCCCTTGGAGGGCCCCCACATCTGCCTCCCCTGACCTCACCTTTAGTTTAGGGATGATCTGACTATGATCTGATGTCTTCTCTTAGTTCCTTCCTGCCCACTCTGCTCCAGACATCCTGACCTCCTCACTGTTCTTCACATGTGCCAGGCAGGCTCCCACCTCAGGACCTTGGCACTTGCTGTTCCTTCCACCCGGAATGCTCTTCCCTCTGATATCTGTGTGGCTCCCTTCCTCATTTCTTTCCTTAAGGATTTTTTTTAAATGTATTCTTAATGTTTATTTATTTTTGAGACAGAGAGAGAGAGAGAACACGATCAGGGGAGGGGCAGAGAGAGAGGGAGACACAGAATCTGAAGCAGCCTCCAGGCTCTGAGCCATCAGCCCAGAGCCCGACGCGGGGCTCGAACTCACGGACCGTGAGATCGTGACCTGAGCCGAAGTCGGACGCTTAACCGACTGAACCATCCAGGCATCCCTTCTTTGGTATTTTTTAAAGGTCCCCAAGTGATGCTAATGTACAGCCCAGGCTGAGAACCATACTGGTGACCAACAGTCCTGGGTTATCTGGGACTTTCCAGGTCTTAGCGCTGTTAAGTCCTATGTCCCCAGCACCACCTCAGCCCTTGAGCAAACAGGGATGCTCAGTTACCCCCTCCCCAAAGGAACAAATCCACGTTTTCTGAATTCCAAGTCAAGACACACGGTCTGGGCACTGACGACTGGAAATCAGTCGTTTGTTTGTTTTTTAAAGTTTATTTATATTTTTAAGTAATCCCCACACCCAACATGGGGCTCAAATTTACACCCCCGAGATCGAGGGTCGCATGCTCTACAGACTGAGCCAGCCAGGCGCCCCTGGAAATCAGCTATTTGAAAGATCAGCTTGGAACCGTGGATGACAGAGGTCGCAGGGTCAGCCCGTGCCGGGAGCCGGACTCTGAAGGGGAGAGTGGCCAGCTGTGGGTCAGTCAGACAGGTCCCCATCATCGGGCCTCCCGGGGCTCCAGCCGCTGGCCGCCCGCTCCACGGCCTTCACCCAGCGGTCCCTCAGCTCCTCGGTTTCAGCCTTGAAAGTGTAGAGCTGGCCTGACTGTTGCAGCTGGAAGAGCCGGGGGTCTGCCTGGGTCCCAGCAGTCACCTGGTAGCCCAGCAGCGGGATGGAGGTGTGAGCCCGCATGTCCTGGGAGGGGAGGAGAGAGCCATGGGCCGCCGTCTTTCTGTTCAGCCCCAATGCCTCAGACAGCCGATTTGAAGGTGATAGCCACGTCCCCACCTCTCACTTCCCAAACACCCACGAAGCAGGTGGACTGCCGGGAGGGCATCCAGGAAGAAGAGGACTGGCTGCCCGCTGGACAGAGTCTGGGCCCAGCTCTGACAGCCACTAACCCTGACGCGAGGGAAGCATGTCCTCACTGGGGCTCAGTTTCCTCCTCGGGCACATGGGGCCAACAATACCCACCCCATACACACATGAACTGCGAGAAGGCCAAGGTCTGGGAGGCGGGCGCTGGCATTACCTGAGGGGCAGCGTAGATGTAGAGGACGAGGGGGTCATCCTGGGGGATCACGCACCAACCCCGGGGGCCGCTCTTGCCCCACTTGTCCCCGACCAGCTGCAGGAAGCTGCACATTAGGCTCTGCTCCGACCCTGCCGCAGACCCTTTCTACAACCAGAGACAGAGGCTGTCAGGGAACAGAGCGCCCACTCTGTGACAGACGCTGGTTTGGGGGCTTTGACAATCACTATTTCGCAGCCTTGCGGCAACGCTGTAAGGAAGGGTTGCTCGTCCCTGAGCCTCAGAGAGGTCCCGTCGCGGGCCTGTGGTCACATAGCTGGCCGGTGGCAGGGCTGCGGTCCAAACCCGGCCAGCCGGAGCTTGGGGCAGGTGCCAGGAGGGGCTTCTCACCTGCGAGTTGCCCCAGGGAACAGAATGGGGGCCTGAGAAGGGAGTGGGCCTGTGGCCTAGCGGGCAGGGAAGGCACGAGCAGGGAGTGGGGAAAACTGGAAAGCGGGCAGAGGTCCACGGAAGGGAACCACCTTGAAACCTGGGAGCTGTGTTCAGCTGGAATGGGGGGAAGGGGTCTTCTCCCACCTCCCTGGGACGGTGGGATGTCAACCTGGCCTTCAACCAGGCAGAGGGGCAGTGGTGGCCAGTGTCTGGGCTGGGGAACATTGTGGCAGGAAGTGAACGCGGCTCGTGCCCCACAGGTGTCGACTGGCAGGGAGGGAGCAGCTTGGGGAGCATCTGTGGGTGTGGAGAGTGGCTCCACCAGCCCCAAGGCAGCAGAGAGAACATACGTGGCAGAGGCCAGACAGCTGGCTCCTAACTTGCTGGGTGACCTCGGATAAGCTGCCTCTCTGGGCCTGGGTCTCCATGGGACAGGTCCCTGAAGTCCCTTCCACTTAGAATGGAGTTTCCAGTCTGCCTCTTTCCAGAAGTGGGACCCTGACCTGCAGCCTCAGTCTTCCCATCTGTGAAATGGGATCAGAGACACCGGCCCTCTTCACCTCCGGAGACTTCCGGGGCAGGGCATGGGCATACAGACAGGAACTGTGCGGAGAGGTCGTTGTGATTATTGGATGGGGCCAGAGGACAGGTGGAGAGTCCGGATGACAGCCTAGAGCCAAAGGTTGCTTCCGTTTGGTGACAGGCCCAGCTCTGTTTGCGGGGGAAGGGGAGGGGTGCCCAGGGGCAGAGAGGAGGATGGGAAATGTGACCGCAGCTGGCTTGTTCCTTTGCACCGAGGACGGTGCCAGCACGTGGCGGGCGCCTGCACACGGCTGCTGGGTGGAGATCCTTGGCCCTCACCTCCAGGATGCCCCGCCTCCTGTCCTCCTTGTCCTCGGGGAGCACGCTGCCGGTGAGGAAGGTGTAGCAGTGGAAGCAGACTCTGTTGGGCCTGTTGTCATCGTATTTGAGCTCAGCCCGGTAGTCGGAGCACTTGGCACACACCACCTGGGGGGTGAGGCAGGGGAGGACCGCGTCTGTACCCAGGCCTGGGGGGCGGGGGCATGAGAGCAACCAGGGACAGGAGGAAGACAGAGCAAGCTCCGGGAGAGGGATGGAGGCAGAGACAGGTGGTCCCCTGTGCTGGCAGAAGCCCCGGGGCCTGGAGGCCACGGCACGGGGGAGGGGAGAGCTCAGGCTCTGGGCTCCCCCAGCCGGGGGCTCGAAGGCAGGTGCCCACTGCAGGTGCCTCTTGATTCCCCCTTCGTAAGGGCGGCTGTGAATCCCAGGGGCTTCCCTGCACACACGGCTGCACCTAATCGCTTCTCCAAGCTCTCTCTCCCCTCAGCATCTCACCTGGTTCTCCCACCGCCCCACCAGGTGGAAGCGCTGGGGCTGTCATCCCCTCCCGACAGCAAGGGACTTGCCGAGGGCCACTTGGCTGGCCCTCCACATACGGGACAGGTATTTAAAGCCCCATGGTTAAGCTTTAGGATTCGTGCACATTTTGCATTCCACTCAATCCTACAGTCAAGCATGTTTTCATAGAAAAATAACGGGCTGAGGTTAACGTCAGTTAAGCATCTGACGTCAGCTCAGATCACATGATCTCACGGTTTGTGGGTTCGAGCCCCGCGTCGGACTCTGTGCTGACAGCTCAGAGCCTGGAGCTTGCCTCGGATTCTGTGTCTCCCTCTCTCTCTGCCCCCCCCACCCCGCCTGCTCACGCTCCATCTCTCTCTCTCAAAAATAAATGAACGTTAAAAAACTTAAAAATAAAAAAAAAATAAAAAAAAAGATGAGCTGGTCGTTCTTGCCAGGAAGACCCAGCATGTGTACTCTGTGGAGCGGGGCCCGCCCCAAGCCCAGCCCAGAGAAAGCCCCCAGACAGGCCAATGTGGGTCATGCTGGGGAGGCCAGGAGAAAGAGGCATGACAAGAATCAGAGAGAAACATGGGTGCTGCGGGATGTAACTTCCAGGAAGACTGGGGTGTCACGCTGAGCCCAGGATGTGGGATTGGAAGCGGGGGCCAAAACACAGAGACGAGGGGGCTCGTCTGGGTGCCCAGCACAGCACGTGGCCCGGGCCCCACAGAAAGCCTGGTCCGCCCCACCCTCACCAGGATTCCCGTCTGGCAGGTGGGGAGACAGAAACTGGGCGCCCAAACCACTGAAAGAATGACTCACAGAATACAAATGTAGGTGCGGGCAAGGGAAACGCTGAAATTGGGCCAAGGGGCTCTCACGTAGCCCCACACGGGGGGGGCTTCAACGACCTTGGGAGTATTTTAATTTATTGAGATTTAAAGTGTTTACACGGTTAGTGTGTATTTATTGTCTCCTCCACCGGCTTTTTATTTTGAAAAATTTCAAACCTACAGACAAATTGAAAGAATAGCATAAGATTCTGCCCCCATCACACTCACCAATTGCTAACATTTTTGCCACATTTGCTTTATCTCTCCCTCTCTATCCATGTATTTTTTCCCTGAATCGCCTGAGTGCAAATTATAGTCCTCATGACACCGCACCTTCAAATATGTAGCTGGCATATCCTAAAAACAAGGGCATTTTCCTCCCTATTCATAACGTCATGATCATACTTGGGAAATTTAGCATCGATACAATATTACTTTCTATAGATGGCTCGTGATCAAATTTCCCCGACGTTCCCCAGAACGACCTCTGTGGCTAGTTTTGTTTTTGCCATCCACAATCCAATTAAGGATTATACATTTCATTTTTTTTTTTTTTTTTTTTGGTCAGAATGTCGTCTTTCTTCCATGTGCCTTGAAGGCGGGTACATAGGTGTTGTTATTCTTTGTGCCTCTTTGCATTTCTTGACTATTTTTAATAATTTTTGAGGAAGTACTTACAAAGTCGCAAGTGTGAATTGACACGACCCTTCTTTACAGACGTGAGTCACCAAGAACAGTAGCTAATCCCCAGATCCTGTCCATTAGGTTCCGATACAACTTGTCACTTACATCTGAACACAGGTGTGTTCCCAGTCCTAGAGATTTCCTTTGTGTCCCAATTGCCATTTAAATACATTTTGGGGACACCTCCCTGACTGGCCCCAACCTGCCAGGCTGGTCTCCTGTCCCCTGGAGGTCATTAAAGACTGAGGTTGTAAAGGGCTTCTCTGTTTGCAGAGTAAATGGAGGGGGTTGTGATGTTGACTGTCGACAGAGAACAGCTCAAGTACAGCAGGTGCTTAAAAAGCAAAGCAAAATTTGTCTCTGATAACCCTGCCGGAGCTGGTAAGAGAGTGGACAGGTTCCTTCCTCAGTCAGCTGGTGGTTGCTCCTCTGAGTGGGCCCCTCCTGAACTGCTGAGGAAGGAAAGGAGGAGAAGGAGAGGGAAGGCACTGAACCTTCTTTGTTGGGTCCTCACTACCACCCTGGAGGTAGGTGTTACAATCCCCACGGTACGAGTGAGGAAACTGAGGCACGGTGAGGAACAGAACTGACCAGGGGCTGGAGCACCGAGGGCTTGCCAGGAGAGGAGGGGACAGTTAGCCAGGGTCGGTTAAGAAGACAGGAAAGACAGGCATGGGGCTGATGAGGTGGTGGGCGCAAGGCCCGCGAGGGGCTGAGGGGTGTGGACGCCCCACCTGGAACGGGAACCCATTTCCCGGTGCTGGGTCTGGGCTCTCGGGAAATGGTGGTACAAACAGGAGCTGGCAGGGCCAGCTTTGGGGAGTGTCTTGAGCACATCGTCTGGCCTCTCTGAGCCTCGTTTCCCCATCTGCAGAACGGGGATGACGAGCCCCTGGTTCACGGGTGGGCACCGGGAGGTCCAAACACTCACATCCCTGGCTCAGAGTCGGCACCTGATGCTTCTGGGCTGCGTGGGTGGGAGCCCGCAGAGTTGGCGGGGAGGGGAGAGGGGCCCTGGGCCAGGGAGGGGAAGGCAGGGGAGGGACGGGTGGAGGCAGGGGTGATGGCGGGACGACTCACGTAGCCGCAGGCTCGGCAGTGGTGGCGGCGGCGCGTCAGGGCGTTGAAGGGCTCCTTGCAGCGCATGCACATGGTCACCATCTTGTCCCGGACCCACTGTGGCGCCCGGAGGCCCAGCTCCTCAGACTGCAGCTGTTGGGCAGTAGGGTGGGCACTCCGTGACCCCCTTCTGGCCTCTCCCTGGGACCCTCGGGCCACCTGCTCGTGACCCCCTTCTGGCCACGCCCTGGGACCCTCTGGCCACCTGCT